ACCCAATTTTTGAGTTGGTTTTGGTCCTAAATGTAAGACCCATTTCTCATATTTATTAATTTTCTCTAAACTACCCTTATAGATACTCCATCAATCATAATCAAGTAGAAGAGAGAGAGAAGGTATTAAGAAAGATGATTATGGTGTTTTAGAAAAAATGTGTCACTTTTCTTATAATTAACTAACTTACCTAACTTCCTTAATCTAATCAAATTAGTTAAATGGGTCTTATATTAAAGACCGGAGGAGTAATATTCGGTATATCTTAAATTTAGGATGCTCACTGTTACCCAAAAAAAAAAAATTTTAAGGGTAAGATATTACTAGAAATTATTTTATGATACTAGATGTCATATTGAAAAAATATTTTAAAATGCTAAATATAAAATCCTGTTTGCGGTTATGTCGGGTATTACACATGAACATATTTTCTTTTTCCAAAAAATCAAACATTAATTTGTCATACTGTAAGAAACTAATTCTTTGTGTTAAAATCAACTCTGTTAGTCGTCTTTCTAATATCTTCATCAAGCGTGAATCACACAATTTCTTCTTGGTGGCAACCCATTCACCAAATCCCGCCCTCATATTATTGTGCTTAATCATACTGATGAAAACTTCGTGATTTAAAATCATATCACACGCACTCTTTAATCGATCCTTTTTCCATATCATTTTTTTCTCATATAGTTTATGCATTTGACGCATAATTACTGAGAAGAATCCCATATATATATAACATAAGAATCTAATGATATTTCTTTAATTCTAAGTCAAGACTAAAATATGCATCCTTTGAAACATTATCACTAAAATGTCAATAAAGTTGGGCGAAACTGATGATCATGGCGATAATACTTTTCTGAAGATCTTCATTATTTGTACATAATTACCTACCACGGTGGCTATGCATTATTATAGCCAGGGATATATGATCAACCAATTGTCGCATATGCACAAAATGATTTAGATTTTTTTAAAAATCTCTCACTTGAAAGATATGTAACATTTTATAGGGAATTTTAAAAACTTGTCACATTTCTTATAATTAACTAACTTACCTGACTTTTTTAATCTAATCAAATTAGTTAAATGGATATTATATTAAAGACCAAAAGAGTAATATTTTATAGGGAATTGTAATGCAGAGAAGATATATACATACACAGATATATGCAGTTAATTGTACATACTACATACATAGATGTGAAACGGAGGCGATGGATGATATTGAAAGGAAAGGAATGGCCAAAATGTTGATCCTTGTCCCCTCATATTACATCCTCCCAAGCATGCACACCCACATGCTCCATTCTATCATCTTATCTTCTTCTTTGACTCTTCATTTGGATCTTCTAAACCCTCATCAACCCTGCCTTCTTTTCCTAGTGGTCCTCATATCACCCTCCATCTCTCTCCTTCCATTATTTTTCCCCCTTGTTTCAATATATAATGATCTTCTTCTTCTTCTTCTTTTAACGTGATCCATCAGCTTCGTGATGACGTTGACATGCTTCTGTTTTTCACACCCATTCAATCCAAAAGCATAAATAAAGGGCGGTACAGTCTATGATGTGAGAGTAAGTAATTAGGTCTTTTTTTGGGGGTGGGGGGTGCCCGCTTTAATGGTGAAGGACAACACCACCAGCTAGCTCCATCAAATTAGAACCCTTTCTTCTCGGTGCTGTTAGGTTGGTTAGGTTTAGTTTTCGGTTTGCGCTCCTTTAATATGTTAAAGCAACCCAGACAAATTACTCCTATTAATGCTTTGTGGTCATAATATATAATAGGGTCACTTATCACATTAAAGAGGTGATGGAGATCAATGTTATAGGAGAGTAAATACTAATTAAGTGTGTGTATACAGAAGTGCTATATAAACGGTTTACTTTGATCCTAAATATAAGATACTGATCCATTTCATCTTCTGAATTTATAATTTTTTTTCTGATTATCCTCATTGATTACACATAGTAAGCAGTTTTTTATTAAGGATAGTTACAACGCACATGATAAAAAAGACATAGAAAAACCAACATACATTTATTATAAATGATTAACTTAATTATTATTTTTAATATGTCTAAATTAGTGACGTAGTTGTTGCACTAAGGAGGCTGTCGTGTATATGATTTTGGATATTCATTAGATATTAATCTATAAATTACAATATATGCATAAAAACAATATAGTTAGGAAATCAGATATAAATTTGTTGAGGAAACAACAAATGTGGCATTGATTAAAGCCACGATCCCACATGCTGTGTGGCCTTCCACTTTTCTGCACTGTACATGCCGTACGGGACACCCTCACACGTTGTTATGCCCTTACATATATACACACATCAAAAATAAATAGTGGCGGAAAATAATTTTTCAAATACTCCTTTGATCCTTAATATAAGATTCATTTAACTAATTTGATTAGATTAAAAAAGTTAAATAAGTTAGTTAATTATAAGAAAAGTGACACATTTTTTCTAAAACACCATAATCATCTTTCTTAATATCCTATTTTCCTCTTCTACTTGATTATGGTTGAGAGAATATCTATAGGGGTAATTTAGAGAAAATTGATAAATATGAGAAATGGGTCTTATATATAAGACAAAAAACCAACTCAAGAATTGGGTCCTATATTAAGAACCGGAGGAGTAATTCAAAATCATAATGGACAATGTGTCAGGCTATGGCATGTGATTTTAACGTAGTTTGTTTATGCTGCACTAGTGTGCCAAAATAAAATACTCCTCTGGTTCCAAATATAAGACCCCTATATACACTAGTATAAGAATCTTATATTTAAGATCGGAAGAGTAATTGAACATTAGAGCAACTATGAATAATGATATATATATTGAAAATAGATGTTTCTTACATTACTATATTTGCGCTGTTAAAAAGTTTAAATTATTGTCTCGACTGTGCCAGAGTCTTTAAACTTTGGTGGTAACTACAAAAATATGGTTACAATCATTTTCCTTTTCAATTTTTTTTTTTGCTAAAGTATAAATATCTTCTTATTAGAGGGTACTGTCAGGCACTAAATGTGAGCACTTCTCTTTTGAACTTTTAATGTATCATAAAAAAAATTTTAATTCGTGTGATGATGTTTTGTTCCAAATTCGTCTGAAAATGACTTTATTAGGCCCAGATGAATAGCTTATTCTTCATGGGTCCCCAGCCGCGGTTTGGTCCCCTAAAGAAAACAAATCCTTGGTCTAATTCAGGTGGGACTTTTTTCTGGGCCCATCTTACAATAAAATTTGGGCTGACCAAGTAAGTCCATCTTTTAACTCATTTCGTTGACTCGGCCCAAATATGCAGTAGCAACCGAGAGAGAGAGAGAGACGATGCAAGCCCGATAAGTGATGACGTTAACAAGTCTTTTTTTTTTTTGACTCAAAGTTCATTGTCCATTATATAAAAACGTTATCATTATCATTATTATTATTATTTTATTTTGGACGTTAGGAGGTCTAATGTTGGGAATGTGGCATTTCATTCTCAAGGATATTTTTGGGGAAAAAAATAAAAAACCGTTATCTATCTTTTTTTTTTTTTAAAGGGTCAAATTCTTTTAAATAGGCTTAAATGTTTCCATCTCTGCATTATTACAAATGATACTTTGTATGGAAAAAAACTAAAACTAAAACTAGCATCACGATACAACTTATTGTTTGGGAAAAAAGAGGCTCGTTAAGTATGCCATGTGCTCTTTTAAAATATCACTTTTAATTACCTCTTGCATCATCACATAATATATGATTATTTGAGCCCTAGTCATCAACTCATCATACTGTATAATCATTGCAAAAAAAAAAAAAAAAATTCAAGCTCCCATAACAATTTAAAAAAATGCATATTCAGAGATAATAATGCACTCCGACAAAAAAATTCAGCTCTGAAATTTAAATTTACAGGAACAATAATTATAAACAAGAGATCAAATATGGGCTTTTTTTTTTTTAACGTAGCTATACCATTGTCAAATACTGTATTTTAAGACATCTATACTCGGATTTATTTTTCACGAACAACATAAAAAAATTACATTAGGTTGCCTTTATACTCCTTTGATTGATAATGTAGGATGTATTTAACTAATTTGATTAGTTAAATAAATTAGATAATTATAAAAAATATGACATATTATTTTTAAAATATTATAATTATCTTTCTTAATATTCTTTACTCCTTTCCTGTTTAATTATTGTTGATAGAGTATCAATAGGAATAATTTAAAAAAAATTAACAAATACTCCTCCGATCCTAAATATAAGACCCTTATACACACTAGTATAAAGGTATTATATTTAGAACTAGAAGAGTATGATAAATAGATTTTGTATTTAAGATTAAAATTAAATTAATAATTCAATCTACGTTGCGTCGAAAGAGTATAAGATTGTTGACAAAAAAAAAATCATTATACTCCTTCGGCCCTAAATATAAAATCTTTATACCAGTATAAAACCCTTATAACAGTATAAGAATCTTATTATAAGGGTTTTATATTTAGGACCGAAGGAGTATAAGATTAATATGTGTGATATATGTAAATTTTTTGGGGTGAAGAAATTAGTCTTAACAAAGTAGGAGGCTTTAATTCCATCACATAAGTCCGTTCATCTCGGTCCGTTGTTTCCCAGCTTGCATTGCATTTCTTGACCTCGCTCCATGGCGAAAAATTGATGTATAGTCGTGTCCAGATACTTTCATATTTATAAATGATAATCTTCGAGGGGGTTCCTCTCTTATTGTAATATTTATGTGAAAATTGCTTCCTTGTTTTTATTTTTGGTACGAAAATTAGTTTTTATTTCCACTTTCCCTCGCCACCATCGTAATTCTCCTTCGTTCTTCTCAATTGTGGATCAAGCTGAAGCAGGGGCATCAGTTTTCACCAGGAAATGCTTGTGATCTCCTTTACATTTCTTAGTCAATTTTTCCAGTTTTCAGATCTATGATAATTTTCATTCATCTGAAGCAAATCTAAGAACTAACACAGGACAACAAGATGTATATGGCATATGGATGGCCTCAGGTCATTCCGCTTGAACAGGGACTCTGCCCCTCAATCCAGAAGATTATATACCTCAGGGTCATTAATCATCAATTACTCGTCGTATCCCCCACTCACTTCGAGCTATGGAGTGCTTCCCAGGTACGTGTGCGTGTACTTCATGTGAAGCAGTCGTTTTGTTATGAATTCGTGTGCTCCATTTTCTTGCATTAAAAGAAAAGAAAACTGAATTTTAATGGACCCAGAGAATGGATTCTAGGTTTGACTGTATTGTGGTTTTTGTGTCGGCTTCAGAATAAAGTGAGACTGGCCAAGTACAAGAGAGATTCAGATTCATTGCAAAGGGAAGGAGAAAATTTGCAGGCAGTGTGGAGCCCTGATGCAAAATTAATAGCCATTATCGTAAGTTTCCTTTCATTCGTTTGTTGAATATCTATGTAAGGCAGTTCGAGTTTCTTCGTCACATGTTTAATATACATCGTTTAGCGTGCTATTTGGAATAATCCGTAGTTTATCTTTGTGGGATCTAGCGTATCAATGTGGAACATATGCATGTTAAATCAAAATGTCAATATTGCCAAGCTGGCGTACGAAATTTTGTGCTTATTGAGGACAACGTTGTTCTTAGATGAAAGAAGAGCCATGAGACTTGTTGCTTGTAATTCAGAATAGGCAACTTGTCTGGAATATAAGTTCATTCATATTTAAAGATTGTTTTTGGTGAGATTCTATGTTTACTTTCATCTCCTGTTCTTATATTGTTCACGCTACTAATAATTTATATCACAAAGTACTATATTGTGTTCTGACTTATAAACTATTCCGTTGATGGATTCATATTTCTGTTCCTGTTAGTCTTTGATTGCTTAGGAGTGATCTTATGATGTAGATGCCCTAATGCTTCTGTATTTTCTTATGACGTTATCTGCAGACATCGTCTTTCTTTCTTCACATTTTCAAGGCACAAATCTCAGAAAAAAGAATGCATATTGGAGGGAAGCAGCCCTCAGCTTTGCGCCTTGCTACGATATCTCTTCTTCTGAGTGAACAATTGCCCTTTGCAGTGAAGGATTTAACACTGTAGGTGTCACTGTCTAGGTTTTATTTTATGATTTTCTTTATCTGTATGAGTTAAGAAAATTGAACAAAAATTTCACTAGCATGATATCTGAACAGGGAGGTGGTCATATTGATACTAAGATTTTGTCTTATGTAATTAACGCAGAATGTTAGGTACTGAAAGGGAAAGGAACAAAGACGTGAATGGAAATGACAATCTCTTATTAAAAGAAATATGCATTGTTGAATAATAGCAATAGAGATATAATAGGCATTGTATAAATTGTTTATGCTACTTTTTCCATGATTGACATTAACTTTGCTTCTCCCTTTGGCTACTAGAATACCTTCATTATTATTGAAACTAGCTGCACCTTAGATTTCGCTTTTTTGAAGGAGCTTGATTAACATATTTGTTTTAGGCTCGGTTTTCACTATTAAGTTATAAGTTGGAAATACAGATGGTAGAATAGCATGGAATTTTGCTGAGTAGTAGAACTGGACTAAATAAGTTACATGTTTAAAACAACTTTAGAAAGTTTACATTCCCATGATTATGTGAAAAGGCCTGTTGGAGTAACTATGTCTATCTCCCATCTTCTGAGTCTATCTATTGTGACGATTGTGTTACATGGATCCTACCACCTTTTTTATTTAAAACTTCCAATGTACGACCATTTCCGAATGCTTCCTGGAAAATGTCAGGTCTTGCGTTTTACTTTGTTCTATATGGCTAAAAATGTGAAGCCATTCTCAGTGTTCGCTTCAGACTTTTCCTTCTATGACCTTTTTGCCAGGAGCAATATTGTGAGTGATAACAAACACATGCTGCTTGGACTTTCTGATGGAACTTTGTACAGTATATCTTGGAAGGGAGAGGTAATTTGGATATATCAAATTCAGCAATTTGCGCCATCCATTTCAATTTTACACATTTCTTCAGGCATTCAGAGAGTGCAAATGTTCAACAGATTTTTCTGTAATTTTTTGCTTTTGATGTTAGACATCATTATCATCGTTCCATGTTCTCCTGAACAGTTTGGTGGGGCTTTTGAATTTGATCCACATCCTCAAGTCATTGAAGATTCTCAGGTACCACTTACTCTAGGCAATGGCCTTTCTCCTAAAGGTCATCCCAGGGTTCTTATGTCCAACAACAATGGCCCTACAAAGTCTGCAATTGTCCAGCTGGAGCTTTGTCTTCCACTGAGGTTGCTTTTTGTCTTATATTCTGATGGGCAACTTGTCTCATGTTCTGTAAGTAAGAAAGGTTTAAAGCAGGTTGAGTCCATTAAATCAGAAAAGAGGTTGGCTTGTGGTGATGCTGTATGTGCTTCAATAGCTCCAGAGCAGCAAATCCTTGCTGTTGGTACCAGGAGAGGAACAGTTGAATTATATGATCTTGGTGAATCTGCATCACTCATACGCACGGTCTCTTTGTATGACTGGGGGTAAGCTATATGTACACATTTTAAATAACATTATTTCTCATTCAGTTTGCTCCTCACATGCTTCCTCTACTTTAATTTTTTGTTACCATATGATGTTCTTCAATCCTCGTACTGCCATTTGCTTAATTTGTTATTTTTGTTCTATCATCATTAAATTGAAGAACAGTACATTGTAATTTGTTCTGACCATATTCAGTGCGATAAAACTTATATAGCTGAGTAGATAAAAATATTATTGCAATAATCACTTTTCCATATTTTCATAATATCACTAGATTGCGTTTCATGCATTTTGCCAATTTAGATGGTTTTGGCTCTATGTCATGAAGTATGATGGGTCTGACTCTTTTGCAGATACTCAATGGATGACACTGGTTCTGTTAATTGCATTGCTTGGACACCTGATAACTCTGCTTTTGCAGTTGGGTGGAAATTAAGGGGACTTGCTGTTTGGTCTGTTTCTGGATGTCGTTTGATGTCTACAATTCGACAAATAGGTTTAAGTTCTGTATCTTCTCCAATGGCTAAGCCAAACCAGGAATCTAAACATGAACCATTGATGGGTGGCACGTCACTTTTGCAGTGGGATGAATATGGTTATAGACTTTATGCTGTTGAGGAGGAATCTTCAGAGAGAGTTCTCTCATTCTCTTTTGGCAAATGCTGTCTTAGCAGAGGTGTTTCAGGCACCAATTACATCCGGCAAGTAATCTATGGGGAAGACCGGTTACTTATTGTGCAATCAGAAGAGACTGATGAGCTCAAAATGCTGCATCTTAATCTTCCAGTTATGTGTTTTTTTCTTTTGGGTCCAAATTCCAATTGTGTTTGGTTATGAAAATGTTTGTGCTTTGCTCTATGTCTTCACTTAATGAACACCTCTGACAAAGTTTGAAAACGTGCAGGTTTCCTATATCTCCCAAAACTGGCCCGTTCAGCATGTTGCAGCTAGCAATGATGGAATGTACTTAGCTGTTGCTGGTCTCCATGGTTTGATATTGTATGATATACGATTAAGAAGGTGGCGAGTTTTTGGTGATGTTACCCAGGAACAAAAGATTCAATGCAAAGGTTTGTTATGGCTGGGGAAGATTGTTGTCGTCTGCAACTATATTGATTCTTCCAACACGTGAGATACTTTGCTGTATCTAAATGCTGCATGTAGTTGATTCTTACAAGTTTGTTATGTCAGATATAGATTCTTTGCAGCCAATTAATATATAGCAGTGCATACTCTTGTGAAGCCTCAATTTTGATGGCTCTCCATTTTTTCCCTCATTTATGTCACCTTAGTACAGCTCTTGTGAAAGCTGATTTCTGTAACTTCTTCTGAAGCATATTGCAATACATGGAACCATTTTTCTCTTCTCCTAGTGGTTTTAAAGATCAAGGCACCGTTTTTTCTTTTTTCCAATGTTTCAGGTATGAATTGCTCTTTTACCCAAGATATCACCTTGATCAAAGTTCATTACTCTGTCGAAAGTCACTTCTTGCTAAACCAATGGTGATGGATGTCTATCAAGATTATATACTGGTTACGTATAAACCTTTTGACGTCCACATATTGCATGTAAAATTAATTGGTGAGTTGACACCTTCAGGCAATCCAGATTTACAGGTAAATGCCTACTTTTGTTGTTTTTATTCTCTATTCTTTTTGTGAATGACACTCTTCTTTGGGACGTTGAAACTTGTTTTGATTTGTATTTGAAATTTCATCAGTGAACATTGTTTACCATACATTTTTAAGTTATAACATGGCGAACAGCTTTCTACAGTACGAGAACTTTCTATCATGACTGCCAAGAGCCACCCCGCAGCAATGCGCTTTATTCCCGATCAATGCTCTACAGAGTCTGTGTCAAACAATGATGTTTCATCAATGTCGGATTCATTAGCAAGAGAACCAGCAAGGTATGCCCTGCGAACAGCTTATATTCTTTTTGTCCTGATCAATTTTACCTCATTTAATTTATATGGTCCAATTAAAATGTCACCATTAGAAAATTCATTAAATATAACGCCTCAGTATCCTATATAACCCTTTTCTTATGCCAAACTAAATATACAAAAGTTTATCTACTTCAACTGCTGCTGTGGACTAGGCATAAGAATTATGTGCCTTCCTGCAGTTAGCTGTTTTTATCTTTATTCTGAAGGCCAGGAGAAAATATTTTTTTTCCTTTTCTTTTTTCAATATAACCTAAATTAATTTGATTCCTTTAGCCAAAGGTAACTAAGAAAGTGGGATGAAGGCTGTTCACTTTTCATGTTACATTCCTCCTGAAAATGATTTCTTTTAGGTGTTTGATATTGAGAGCAAATGGGGAGCTTTCACTTCTTGATTTGGATGATGGACGTGAGAGAAAGCTTACTGATTCGGTTGAATTATTTTGGGTTACTTGTGGCCATTCAGAGGATAAAACAAATTTAATAGAGGAAGTTTCATGGTTAGATTATGGTCACCGAGGCATGCAGGTAATTAACTGTCAATTTTTGGTCATACGAGAACTTTCTTGTGTTCGGTATATATGTCATTCTATTTTACTCGGTTTAATGCCAATTTTTGGTTTAACCTCTGGTTTATTTCCGTTTTACTTGTCTGAATATTTTATTCGTGCTTATTCATTTTTACAGGTCTGGTATCCATCTCCAGGTGCGGATCCGTATAAACAGGAGGATTTCGTGCAGGTCTGTGTATAGATTATTGCACTGACTGTTTATACGTAGTAGATTGCGTTAACCAAAATTATATTTTCTCTTCTTGCTTCTCATTGTTTCTTTTTAGTGTTTGAAAAAGACATTATCATCTGTATATTTTAGCTGGTAGACATGCAAAGGCTTCTAAAAATGGTATTTTAGGCTCTGATGCAACTTTGCTGGAGTTTATTTCTAGATTCAGTTTAGTTGCTGAGTTAGAACTCATTGAATTTTTCAGTTGGACCCGGAATTGGAGTTTGATCGTGAAGTATACCCTCTGGGACTTCTTCCAAATGTTGGTGTGGTTGTTGGTGTTTCTCAGAGAATGTCATTTTCAGCAAGCACAGAGTTTCCATGTTTTGAACCCACTCCTCAGGCACAAACAATATTGCACTGCCTACTTCGGCACCTTCTTCAGGTATTAAATTTCTTAAATTTAAACTATCATTTGGGTCCATGAAAGATGTATATTGAAGATGCACGACCTACTAAATTGCTCCTTTACGGAACTCCCTTTGGGTCCTTTCTGTGGATTAAATGATTACTTTTGTAGGTTAACGCCGATTTAGAGAGATTTGGGGCCATAGTACTGTAATATGGTTATACTCCGATGTTTTTAATGTGCTTTTTTTTCTTTTCCTTTTTTCTGGTGTTCTTTGATCCCATTCTTGATTCTTGTATTAAAAAATAAAAGATCTCGTGTAATTCTTTTCTTATTATTTCTGCGGCTGCTAGAGGGACAAAATTGAGGAAGCTTTAAGACTTGCAGAACTATCAGCAGAGAAGCCTCATTTTTCACATTGTCTTGAGTGGCTTCTTTTCACAGTATTCGAGGCAGATATATCCAGGTACTTTCAATCTCGTTATGCTAAAACGAGGGTTTCAGGTTTTCCAGGTCCTTGTTTCTTCATGGAACATTTTCCCCCCCCTTCAATTTATTTTGTCTTGTCTGGTTACTCTCCAATTGAATCACTGCAGGCAAAATGTAAATAAGAACCAGATCGCTGTGTCTAAACCTGCTAAACGCTCTCTTCTGGAGAAGACCTGTGATTTGATCAGAAGCTTTCCAGAGTACCTTGATGTTGTTGTAAGTGTTGCAAGAAAAACCGATGGTCGTCATTGGGCAGATTTGTTTGCTGCTGCTGGTAAATCAGCCGAGTATGTCCTTCAAGCATCTATTTTCCTCATTCTTTCTTTATCTACCTTCAATTTTAATTGTAACTAATGTTTAAAATTGTACTTAAGAAGTTCATTATACCCTGTCTTGTAAGAAAAGGGTAGACTTGATGATCTCTAGTTGTTTACTATTATCTAAATTTATACTCAATTAAAGAACTGTTCTTCTGCAAATATCTCGTGGACAATATCTTGTGGATTTCTGCTGGATTCTTTTCCCATGGCACCTGTCACGTAGTTTTCCAACACGTCAGGCTCTCTCTCTCTCTACACCAGAACACTTTTTTTTAATGGGAATAGAACACTTAACAGAAAGCAAGTGGTTTAGCACTATGAATAGACTGGGGAAAGCAAGTCTGACAATGATCGCACTTCTAATTTATAAAACAACAACGGTTTAGCTGTGCAGCTATTTAGAATGACACATCTCTGCTATCTTGAATAAAATCTTATTATGGCAAAATGTAAAGGAATATATTAACTCCCCCATGATTTTTTTTTTTTTTTTGGGGTTGCTTCTCCTAAATGAAGTTACCTGTGTTTTATCTTAGTTCTTAGTGTAAAGTGTAAACTATAGGGCTTGTTTTATTGTTGTATTTTAATTGTATAAATCATTTTTTCCCCCTTCGTTTCTAATAGACTGTTTGAGGAATGCTTTCAACGAAGATGGTACCGCACTGCTGCTTGCTACATACTCGTAAGCATGAGTACCTTTTTCTTATTGTGTGTCTATATCTATGTATATTATTTTTAATTTTTATGCTTAACCTGTGGAAACGTTATGGCTTATTTGTTTCTTCTTTTTTAATATATCTTTTTTCTTTTAATGTCTAAGTCCTTCTCTTCAGAAGAGGGAATCCTGATCTTTAGAATAAATGATCAATTTATTCCATCTTAAATATAACAGGTGATTGCTAAACTTGAAGGCCCTGCTATTAGTCAGTATTGTGCTTTAAGGTTATTACAGGTTTGAGCTAAACCGTTTTGCTTATTTTATCTTCATTAACGTTTGATCAATTAAAGCCATATCAATGATGAGGATTGCAAAATATATGCAGGCTACCCTTGATGAATCTTTGTACGAACTTGCTGGGGAGCTGGTACAGTTTTGAAACTAGGATTACTTATTTATTTGGTTGATCAGTAGCGTGTCCTTTACAGAAGAAGCAATACCTTTTCCTTAATTATTTGTTTTGGGTCATCAGGTGAGGTTCTTGCTGAGATCTGGCAGGGAATTCGATCATGCATCAAGTGATTCTTTGTCTCCTAGATTTTTGGGTTACTTTATTTTTGGTTCTAGTCACCAAAGGCAGTCATTGAATAAAAGGTAGATGTACACATAGTGAATGTCCTTTGTTTTATTCACAGCATGGATATCATTAGCACCAACCATCCTAACAAGCTTTTTTTCGTTCCAAAATCAGCTCCTCATTCAAGGAGCAGAGTGCCCATGTTACCTCTGTTAAGAATATTTTAGAAAGCCATGCTAGCTACTTGATGTCTGGGAAAGAGCTCTCAAAGCTTGTTGCATTTGTCAAAGGAACTCAGTTTGATTTAGTGGTAAGAAGATTGCTAGTTCCTTTATTCCAATCTCTCCCTCCGGACAGATTGTTTTCTTTTGGTTAAAAGTGGTTAAGCTGTTTAATGGCAATCAATTGCAGGAGTATCTTCAACGTGAAAGATACGGGAGTGCTCGGCTTGAGAATTTTGCATCAGGGCTTGAACTAATAAGCCAAAAGGTTTGCTTTTAAGTTGTAGCGGCTTAATAATAAGTTTGTTTGCGATGCTACTTTCTTCTTTTCAATACCCTCTTTATGAGTTGTGATGATGTTGCCCAACTTTGTTGTAGCCTGAAGTTGGAAAAAAATGCAAGGGTTTGTTGGGTAACTTTGTCACTATGGATTAATAAATCCACTCAGTTGCACTCTAAAATCTCTTATGACATTTTAAGAAAAGCGATGCTTTCCTTGTTTCATAAAGCATCAATAATAATTTAAGTACCACTTTTCTTAAAATGTCACAGGAAAGTTATCAATCAAGGAAGTTACACACACACACACACAAAGACGAAGGATAGCTGGGGGAGTTATCAATTGAGGTCCTTTGGTGAATACTATATTAGAATTGGTTGCAAATGGAGCATAATAGCATTGTGTAATTCATATAGTTGACCCCATTTAATGGAAAAAAATAATAAGGCTGCTTGTTGCTGTTTATGCTTTCCTTATCACATTCGAAGCAGGCCTTGAATTGTCACCAAGTTCTCTAGATTATTTGCAGCAATGTCCCCCCCCCCCCTCTTTTTTTCTCCTGCTTATTGCACGCTCTTGTGTTCTCAGCTTCAAATGGGAACATTACAGAGCCGATTGGATGCAGAATTTCTTCTGTCACATATGTGTTCTGTCAAGTTCAAAGAATGGATAGTTGTCTTGGCGACTCTCTTGCGCCGATCTGAGGTATGTTTGATGCTAGATAATGGTTTCTAAGATTCTTAGGACATGATATTTTGACTTTAGTATAGCAATTTAAACTTTTTTGAATTCTAAATGAAAATTCTTGTTAATGGGGCTAACTCCTTTTTAAACTTAGTTTGAGCATCCGCTGGACAAGATTACCTTCTGGCATCGGTTAAGTCCTGGCTGTCTTAATGTTCTAAGTTTTCCCACTTAAAAAGTATTCTACGGCTAAATTTGTTGTGAGCGACTACTTTTCAGATGTCAATGACTGAAAATCGGATATATTCTTTTTCTTTTTTGCAAAGGAATAATAACAATGGACCCAGCATTCTTTAGATTTTACATGAAATGAACCCAACATCTGCTTTGTTGTTCAATATATTACCAACTTCATTAGTATCATAGCAATTTGGGAAAAATAGCATTGGTGGAATTGTTTGACAAAATTCAACATGGTTAGCAGATACGACTAAATTTGGATGGATTAAAATGCATGACAACATTTTAAGCTGGACTTTGTAGAAAGATGTCTTGTGCATTTTAGTGAATCAAAAAAATGTTTTAAGGCACAAATGGAAGAAGGATATGCCAATCTTTCGCATGCCATGAAAACTGAGTTTCTCAGTTCACCGGAAAAAAAAAAGGTTTTTCATAAATTTTATCCCCTTCCCTGTTGAAGAGGTTTCTATATCTGAGTCTGAGGATAGGTCTTGACATATTTGAATCATTCATGGTTTAGCAGCCATTTGGCTGTAATTAACTTTCTCGACCATTGCGTTTATTTTATTATTTCTTTTTTGTTGGGGTAAAATCAAGGTTCTTTTTGATCTATTCCGACATGATGTTCGGTTGTGGAAAGCATACAGCAATACCTTGCAGGTATGACTTTTCCATTTCTCAGCATGAATTACGATAACAGAACAATAATACTTTGTTAATAAGAAAAAATAATCTCCTGCTGCCTCTGGTTATCTATGCTGTACAGTCGCACGCGGCATTCATTGAATATCATGATTTACTGGGAGACCTGGCAGAGAAACTTTCACCTGTTGGAAGTGTGGATGGGAACTGAAAGAAGATTTGATTTTCGTAGAATTTCTCTGGTTCGTAATGGTTTCCTGTTGAAGTAATCTAGACCAAGTGACTGAGAAGATGTCACACGCAAAAAGAATTTACTCTCTCTTTGATTGTGGGGGCCAAGAAATTACATCTATATGCTGGGTTCACACAACATATTATCCATGCTTAATCCAGTGAATAGGGAATTGTATTTTTAGGTATAGAAAGAGGATAGAAATTTCTTTAGGGAGGCTTGTTTATGACTGAGAATTCCATTATTATTCTTTTTTTTTTTCCTTTAAATTTTTGGCCTATTCACAGACGGCAAGACGTTTTTGTAGGAGGATGAATAGATCCACATGTATATATTTCTTTCTGCTCCTGGTGAGCTTTAACATTTATAGTGGGATTTATGCAACTTAATTCTTTTCCCCACTTTTGATGAATAAAGAGATAGCACAAGAGACGTGGAGAGAGGAACACGTAGCAGAAGTTAGGCATATCTGAAATGTTTCTGCAACCTTTCTCATCGCTGATCTCGTCGTCAAAACTGGAATTATTCTTTATCAACACAACAAACTAATCTTTCTTAGAATATAAAAATAAGAGAGATTAGGGTCCGAAAGAGAATTTTCACGAGCAAACTAGTTTGTGACCCGAGTTTGCTTATATGCGTCATCCATGTGAGAATTTGAAATATTACGAAGAATGCGCGTTACATTTAAGAAGCACTGTAATGTAATAGTAATTTTAAAAATAACACGATGACTTTTAAGTTCTTGTAGCATCATAATTTATGTGTTACACGAAGACATTTTTAAATCTGACTTTGTCTAAATTCAAGGTGGTCCGAAGATGGCCCTTGCCCAAGCAAAATTGGATCATGTAATGCAATGAATAAAATTTCTCATTGCCCTTCTGATGAAAAAATAATTATGCTTTTGACTCTTGCATCAAAAAATTATTTATTCCACTTAATACTTTTTAATTTGAGTTATCTCAATTAGGTATGCTGAAATTTGAATATATATACATATACATATATATATATATATATATATCTGTGTGTATGTATATAAACAAACACAAAATACGTTAACATTTTATTTAGAGCGTTTAGTATTGAACTTTGTTCTTCAATTGACATTTTGTTTCCGAAGAACATAATGCATATAAAAACTATCTCTTAACGGATAAATTAGAACAAAAATGTAATAATTTAGATAAAAGATGTAAAACTCAAAATTTAAGTGCTTCATTTGATTGAGATTGCTGAAAAGATCAAAATTTGTATTTTCATTACTCGAATCTCCGGACAATTTGATTGTCAGGGAAACTCTTTTATGTGAACTCACATCAACATACAATAGCATCGAACAAATGATTTGTAATACTTAGGTTTGTTCATATATATTCCAAAGCAACAAGTCTATATGCACGCTTGTTAGGCTAGCTACATGAACCGCCACAAGCTACCCCTTTCGGCAGCTCTTACCGCTGAAATTTAAAAGATTTGATGACAATAAATTGCTTACAACAAGAGAAACATAAATTATAGGCCTACCAGCCAGAGGCCCAGAGCTGATGGGCTCAAAATGCATAGTCTTGCTAAACCAGAAGAGCAAACGGCTGCAACCCCTTGCCTCATCATCTTCCTCGGACTTGATATAAAATAATTCCCACGCTTGACTCATCTTTCAGTTCAAGAATCATTCCTGCATCAACCCAAAAAAAGTTCAATTTTTTATTCAAACTCATCAATCACCTCAGAATTCTCGTCAAACAGATGGGCCGTGGGCGTACATGCATGTGTGTGCAGGTCATGGTAAACAAAGGAAAGTAAAATTTGAAAAGTTAAAAACAAAAAGGAAAAGAAAAGAAAAAAAGAGAGCTTACTTTTTAGGTCAGGTCTTTCACCATAGCGTACGCTAGTAGCTTGAACAAAGGACTGATAAGAAAGGCTTTCCAATTCTCTATCTGCATTGAAAGTCATCGAAGATGGTGACACGGTGATGAGCCTTCTATATCTCTGGATCTTCTTTGTTTCTTTTGCGTAAAAAACAGAGAACAAGTAATTCCATCCACGTTCAAAGGGATAGATCAGTGTAATTTTAGTTCGTTAACATGTGAAGGAGTATAAAATAAAGGTCGTACACTTGCTCGCCGATTTCGCTGCTGACTCTTGGTGATTCGGGAGAAACTGTTGATCAAATAATCAAAAGAGACCAAACGAGGAGGGCAATGAACCTAACGAAGAATGTTAGATCTATTGTAGACACAATTCCCAGAGGGCCTTTCACCAGCACTGGACGTTTCCATATGACCTTATTTTTTCCGCCATTGGTGCTGTCATATTTAATATTGTGCCACAGCTATTTGATACGCTACCTAACATTTTAAGTTGACTTATTCAAGAAAGGGGAAACGTGGCAGAGAAAAATCAGATATGGAATAGTTTGTTTCTCAATATTTTTATTATTATTTTCTGATTTAAGTTTCAGTTGCGAAATAAGTGGGATACCCCACTTTAACGTTAGAATTAGTTCCAGATTTAGTTGCTGATTGTTATCCTTGAATTATTAGTATATTCTCTCTCTGTAATTCATTATAAGAAGGCTCTTTAGCCTCAGGAGTAAGAGACGACGTTTTCAGAGAGTTCACTCATATTGGAGATACTCCTTTGGTCTTTTAGAGAGTATTGTGAGATACTTGCAGTTTTGTCTATTAGAATTTTCCCTTTCGTACTCCATTTTCCTGTTATGCTATTTTTCAACGCCTGGTCCCTACCTCGGTGTTCTGATCTGGTGTTGGGGATTAAATAGTTAGCATCACTAAATACCACTGAGGCCAACTGGAATCAAATGTTCATGATTTTTTGGGTAGCTGGAAAAAGAATACAAACTGCAGGGAGTAGTGCCTGAGACTAATGCTGCAGTGCGTCTCCAAAGCTTAGTGTTAACGCGCAAAGCAGAGGAGGATGATGAGCTTGATACAAGAATTGCCCAAACCATTTTTGATGAATTTGCTCAGGTGTTCACAGAACCCAAGTCATTACCACCAGCCCATGGAAAATACCATGCCATCACATTACTTCTAGGTTAGCCGCCACCCAATCTAAGGCCTTATCGGTACCCCCATTTTCAAAAGATGAGATAGAAAATTAGATCTCAGAATTTTTGAGCAGGGGGTTTTTAGACCCAATTTCAGCTCGTTTGCTAGTCGGTACTGTTAGTTAGCAAGAAGGATGGGTCTTGGCACCTTTTGTATTGATTATCGGTGTCTCAATTAGATCACCACACCAGATAAGTATCCTATTCCTAATATCGATGAGCTATTAGATGAACTACATGGGGCTACCTATTTCTCAAAAATTGATTTACATTCTGGGTATCATCAAATACTTATGCTGCCATCGGATATTCATAAAACTGCTTTTCAGACCCATTCAGGGCACTATGAATTTGTTGTGATGCCATTCAGCCTTATGAATGCACCAGCTAAATTTTAATCCATTATGAATGATGTGTTTAGGCCATTTCTAAGAAAATTTGTGCTTGTATTCTTTGATGACATATTGGTGTATAGTGCAACTGCCCAACAACATTTGCAGCACCTCCGTATTGTGTTTCAAGTGTTATTACAACAACAGTCCTTCTTTGCTAATGCAAAAAAAAAGTTCTATTAGGCAAACTCGGATAGATTACTTGGGGCACATTTCTCAAATAGGGAGTGGAGGTAGTACCAGAAAAAGAGGCAGCAGTTCTGAATTGGCCTGTTCCCAAAATGTTAAGGAGTTGCGTGGATTTTTGGGACTCACAAGTTACTATCGACGCTTCATAAAACACTATGGCATGCTAGCTCGGCCCCTGACGGACTTGACTAAGAAGGAGGCATTTGAATGGTCCGACCAGCTCAAAAAGCCTTTGAAAAGTTGAAGGTTGCTTTGACAACGACTCCTGTACTAAAGTTGCCAAATTTCCTACTTTCCTTTACAGTGGAAAGTGATGTATCTATGGATGGAGTTGGGGCTGTGTTAATACAAGAGGATCACCCTATTGCATATTTCAGCAAGGTTTTCTCTTTTTCTAACCAGTTTTCAAGCCAGCATATGATTAGGAACTCCTAGCCTTGGTCTTATCTATTCAGAAGTGGAGACACTACTTATTGGGACGTCGTTTCTTTGTGCAAACTGACCATTACAGCCTCAAGCATCTCCTTGATCAGTGAGTGTTGAACTCCACTCAACAAAGGCTATTGATTAAACTACTCCCATTTGACTTTACTATCATTTAAAAGTAGAGGAAGAACAATGCAGTTGCGACTTCTCTCTCTCTCAAAAACCATTGGTAGCAGAATTAATGCAAATAGTCATTACTATGGTGGAAGACATTAATCAACTACCTACCTCAAGCATTGCTGGATGATTCTAAGACAAAGACAATAATTGAAAAGTTATAGCAAAGCCTGGACCCACTCTCCAACTACAGTTTAGTCAATGGCAGATTATACGACAAATCTCTATTGGTCATTCCAAAAGGAGGCTCTTTACGGGCTAAATTGATGGAAGAAGCCCATACCACACCAACAGGAGGACATAACGGTACCTAAAAACTTTGAAAAGGCTTAGTGCACACATTTATTAGAAGGGCATGAAGAATGAAGTAAAACACTTTATGCAGCAATGCACAACCTGTCAACAAAACAATATCAAACTCTTCCACCAGCAGGCCTACTCCAACCTCTTCCTATCCTTGAACGTATCTGGGAAGATATATCTCTTGATTTCATCACTGGCCTACCTAAATCAAGAGGCTTTGATGTGATTTTGGTGGTGGTTGCCCGACTTGGTAAATATGCTCATTTTCTTGCATTATCCCATCCATATACTGCTAAGTCTGTAGCTGAAATGTTCTGCCAAGAAATAGTCAGGTTGCATGGCATGCCTAGATCCATTGTTTTAGATTGTGATTCTCTTTTCCTAAGTGCATTCTGGCAAGAACTCTTTCATTTAAGCCAAACTCGCTTAAATATGAGCACTGCTTACCATCTTCAAATGGACGGTCAAACTGAGGTTGTGAATCGCTGTTTGGAGACTTACCTGAGGTGTTTCACTCATAAACAACCCAAGTTATGGAGTAGATTCCTTTGTTGGGCAGAATTCTCCTTTAATACAAGTTTTCATGCATCAGCCCAAAACACTCCCTTCAAGCTAGTATATGGGAGGGACCCTCCTCCACTCCTTCCCTATGTCAGGGGGGAACTTCAATGGCTGAATTGGAAGAACAATTGGAATTGAGGGATGATATGCTCAAAATTCTATGAGAAAATTTGTTAAAAGCTCAAAATCGCATGAAATTGCATGCTGACCAATATTGTAGGGATCTTTAATTTGTACCAGGTGATATTGTTTGGCTGCGTCTCTGACCTTACCGTAA